ACATTACGGATGCATCACAGAATCAGATTTTATTTTTTATCTTTTGTCATATCGATTATAATTTGTAACAACACTATTAAGATGTAAACATTGCAACTACAATTAATATTGCAGGGTTTTTTCTGGACTAGATACGTCATTCAATATTCTAAAACGAGACCACTACGTTTCGGAAGCTGGCTCTGCTCTCTTCTTCAGATGAAAATACCAAAACTAACCCTTACATTTAGATTAGCCCCTTCTATCATATCCATCAGAATAAGCATTTTCTCCTGAAGACGGGAGCAGAAGCAGCTCCCGAAACGTAGAGCTCTTGTTTTAGAATACTGAACTATGGATCACGTCCAGAAAAACGATAAAGTCTACATCGTTGAAACCTTTTAGATCAGGGGTTCTCAACCTTTTTCGCTGGCGTACCACTAATTCTAATTTAACACACTAAATGTACCACTAACCAAATGCGACCAGGGGAAACTTATTTATGTTAATATTATCTTTTGATTTCCTTACTTAGTTCGCGTACCACTCAACATTGGCTTGTGTACCACCAGTGGTACGAGTACCATAGGTTGATAAACGCTGTTTTAGAGTATATTGCTACTACGCGTTATACAGAACTCTCTTCTTGTGAACTGATGACGCACACAAGGGTGAATCACCTACATGAATGTTAATCACGCGCATGTCCATTAATGGCTATTTGCAGACACGGGATGTCTAAGTGCGTATCGTTGTATGAGCCCACAATATGTGTAACAGATTTTTTCCCCAGTTGTGTAATTACTGACACTCAAATAACATTTAGTTCCCAAACAGTAGGATAAAGTCAAATGACGAAGTTAAATTAAACGTTTATAATTCTACAAGAAATTTACTTAGAGTCAAAATAGGTCATATAACATTAATCTCAGTTTACAATAATCATTCATAAAGTGCGCGGATACGATTTGCTTTCAAACTCTGAACTAATCTTCATTCACCTGCGTCTACCACAGATCATTTATTCTTATAATTATGGGTCGGTCACAGTTCATTACTTATCTATAGATTATAATCTATTAATTCTAATATGAAGTTCTGAATGTAGCCATTGTGAAGTGCACACAGGACAGATAATGTAGTAAAATATATATCCACATATGTAATTGGAATTTAAACTTTTATTTGTTGCCTAGAAATTTGTCGACAGAAAGTCAGAGTAAATAGAGCAGAATTTCATTCTTGTTGTCGATGTTGGTCGTCTGGGTCTGTAACGCCAAACTGGGCTTTACAGACCATAAAAGTAGTGTCGACATCTTTATCGCCGTTAGAATTTGGAATTTCACTTTTTGTTATTTACCGCTTCCAAAATCGTGCAGGAAATTTCTAAGACATGAACAAGAGTTTGCAAACACACTCCTACAGGTGGCACTAACATGGCGCGTTTTCTACGAAAAGGACGCCTGTCTGCTGTTTGTATACAATTCACGACATTTTCTAAGATTCTTCTGCCCGAGGGAATCCTCGAATGCTGTAGGTAGTAAAAGTTGGATTGGGTTGACTAACTAACTGACTTGTTAGTTGCTTCGCTACGTTGGGTCGACTGCTAAATCAGGAGTATTATTAATAACACAATGACGCTGAATACAGTGACCACGCTGTCTCACGAGTAAATTTTAACTCAATATGCATTTGTTGTTTCCCTTCCAAGCTCTTGATTTATATTTGTCTACAGCGAGTTTATATTTGAATTTCAGTATACTGCTGTATTCTGCGCTCAATATGATGTTAAAAATTATGAGTTGTGTTGCTTGTAGAATTTATAATATTTTACAATTCCCGTTGTTTAAAAATAAAAAAAGAATGGTTAGAACTGTCGATGAACAGAAACAAAAGTTTATTTAACTGATATCAATTACCAAAAAATTAGGGCAAAAGAGTTCGGTTTAAAGGATATTTATCTCGCCCTTAGTATGGAAGTGATTAAAAATGATTGTGTCTTATTTGCCCAAATTAAAATTATATTACAATATCGTAACCGTAATTTTAACAACAGGCCTCGTAGTATAAGGATTTTTCTTCATTCATTGTTTCATTTTATTTAAGAACCGCCATTTTTGTCCTTTCTCAGAGACAGAAGCCATTTTGTGACAATAATTATAAAACAAAAGAATAAATGCAGCACTCGAAATGTCTTATACGCCTTGCATAAACTTTTTGACTAGTTACTTAATTTCTTTCATAGTTTTGTTATTATTGGGTTGGTAATATAGCATAGGAAGTGAGAATTTTGGGATTTGTCCGGTTACGACGTCGAGTTCTTGAACTAGGCATGCTCCAATTCAGGAGTCAGTCAAACATCTCTAAGAAAAATCTGTCGAAGACCGGTATCAAATAAAGTCCAGATATGCAATTAGGCCTATCCAATATAATCGTATTGAAATTTAAGGAAATTATTGTGACGTCAACAGGCTGAAAAAATAATCATCCTGCTCTGTTCGTGACAGATTCGTAAATAAGGAAATATAGGCCTAACTGATGAGAATGTAAACACGATCATCTTAGAAAACAATAATACGTCATGAAATGTACGTAGGATTTGAGTTCTTCACGGCGGCGAGTCTGAAGATGGCTGTCTCCTGGGTTGTTGCACCATGTAGTCTGGCAGAAGTTTGCCGACGTTTCAGAGGTCCTTGCTGCCTCCATCATCGGTCACAACAACCCAGAAGACAACCGTCTTCAATGTTGTATGGTTTCAAACCGCAGGCAACTTATTTGAAGGCTGCAATTTCATTTCATATTAAACCACTAACAGGAATGAGTGATACGGACTATAAACCTACTTACATATTATTTTATATCATGCATTCAGCAATGAAGAACATGTGTGAAGGAAAGGCATGTTGAAATAAATATGTATCTCATGTATGCTTATTGCTATCCCCTTAGAGTGTTTAATGTAAGAAACTTTTTTGTGAGCCTAATTTAAGGTGAAGCAGATGGTATCCTGCAAAGATGATTGAAAACAATGGCAGAGCTCTAAAATACATTGAACACGTGTCACATAATTCTGTTCTACAGAGTTCACTTGTCTTATTACAGTTTTATTTATGACTAATGGATAAGTACCATTAATTAAGCATGAAATGTTTTGGTATTGCGAGTCCTTACATTTTTATCATAAAGAGAGTGCTGCTACTACTACTACTACTACTACTACTACTACTACTACTTCCTTTGCTTCTTACCTTGTAAATACACGATTCAAGTAGGCCTACATTCTTGTAAGAATAGATGTCTATATTCCACCTTCCACCACAACTCCTACAACAACTGAATGTTGCTTTACGGTTTCCCTCGGATGTTAGTTTTCTTCTTTCCGTGTCTAACCCTGAAAATCAGGTTTGCCATTCATTTGTTTACATGACAACATATTGAACTGAACAGGCAAAGTTACATTTCTGGCAAACAGCATGTCTGAGAAGGCAGCTGTAAATAGGTATAATTTGGTTCGCTACGCCAGCCTATGTTGTGCGTCCCTTACTTTAAAATTATACCTATATTTTAGGGTCGTGTTTAATATCCGACTACATTAAGTTCTTTCCTGAACGTAAACCCAACAGCTGTACATTTATCTGAATTATATTATTCTGGCTAATACGTATTTAGAAAGATAAAAACACCAAGACCATCTTCGGATTCATGTGAATAAATATTTACGACTAACCTATAAAGTGGTTTTGATGACAATGAACAAGATGGCTTGCTATTTTTTTTAGTAATCTGATAGTCGTTACTGACCGAAGTTAAATTTCTTGTTTCTGTTGAAACTCTTTGAAGCATAAAGCTCATTTTAATCATTTTTAAAACATTAGTTCCCATCTCATAGAAAACACCACGTGTCTCCATTACGAAGATACATGATGAATGCTGTGTAAGGAATACCATATGTTGGCAAAAAATCAGTTTCTGATTGTTAAAGCAGGTGGTAGGCCTGCGTGGGCCTATAGTTAACACTGAGGTTTAAAGAGTAGACTTTTTTTTATGAAAATCGGTTGGCTGAGATCACTGACAATCACGTAGGAACCGATATGGCCTTAGCATAATATTAGAATTACAGTTTTTCTCTGTCACTGGGCATGCGTTTATTTAAATTTCTCTAGTCCAAGGACATGTAGGTCTACCCTGTCCGAATTTCCTTAATTATAAAAATGACCTTATTACTAAACGACGAATTAACACACATTGGAAGTCATCAGATGGAAACCTACTGATTTATTCTGTTCGTATTTAGAAACTTGCAACTTTGAAAAATCTTACCTTCATACACAATGCGATAAGGGTAGATAGTGATTCCTTTCATATTTTGGCGCCCAATTCTAGACATGCTAGACGTTATATTACAGTAGCTCCACCCAATGTTGGAGGTGTAACCTCAGTGGGAAGAGCCAATATATATTGCAGGCTTTCTACTGGCTATACATTGCCGCGGGTTCTTTAAACGAAGTCGTGCAGCCAATAAAGTAGACGGTGTGATCTTCACTTTTTTCCTTTATTTTGGTTTATTAACAACTTTCAGCAGTTTTTGCAAAAAAATATAAACACATTCATAGGTTTTGTTCTTCATAAGATCAGTCTAGGTCGTTATACTTAATGCTGTTCATAAATACTTTGAAATACAGACTTTCGTGTGAAAATAAATAACCTCAAAAGCTATACATAGATTAATTTTACACCATTGGACCGCCATCTTGACAGTTGTCTCTCATCTCCGTCTCTCTCTCTGTTTTCTCTCTCCCCCACTTCCAACGTAGACGATTCCACACCAGGAACGGGGGTGTACAGTTAGAATAAGCGGATTAGAGTTTTCTGGAACTGTTTCACAGACTAGTGCGTTTGCGTTATTGGTGTTGTATTCACGGACCTACTTCATCTAGTTAGACTTTGTACTTATATCTGTATGACTGAAAATCTAAAGGGTAGGTAGAACTTTCCAGCATTATTGACCCCAATGCCAGTGTAGTCATCCGCATTCCCAATTTCGCGTTAGGTCTGGCCTGTTCTACAAGGAGTGGGGGGATTTGTGACGTCAGTGGACAGTCCTAGTGACCGTGGTGTCGACGAATCCAGTGTTATAAAACAGTACTAAAGATTTCAGCTACGCACCTCTGGCTCGTCTTCGTGAGAGGTGTGAGGAGCAACGAAGAGAGAAAAACTACTTCGACGAAGGCCAAATGAGAGTTGTACTTTGGGGAGGAGGCTTGTCTTGTAGCAGCGTTGGCTATTGAAGTCGTGTTTACGAGTGATTGCGATTTTTGTACTTGTGTTTAAGAGCAGAACCGTAACAAATGCGTTCAGTTACTTAATCTGAGTTTGTTTGACGATTTCAGTGCAGTGCAAGTGATTTTGAGACTTCATAACTCACGATGGAATTGTCCATGGGTGATCGTGTTTATGCGGCAGAGAGAATAATGAAGAAAAGGGTGAGGCGGGTAAGTGAAATCGTATTCTATGTTACACGGTAGCTAGTGCCATGCTGACGTGTGAGCGCTGGTGGAAGGTGTGACATGAATTGCTGTTAAATTAACTGTACAGATTTGTAGTAACAACTTAAACTTGACCTTGTCTGAAGTAGGTAGCCAGCGTTTTAGATGTTTTAAACAAAGGGCATATTAAAGAGGATTCAACTTTATTTGCAATATTCATAGTCTTCGTTTATGGAGGGAGTCACTAGGCTTGTATAAGACCTATTTCCTTCGACTGTCAGCCCTTAATTTGCCCTTTTCTTGGGGTTCAGCCCCTTGGGGGGAGGTAAGTAGGCTGAAGAATTGATGTCGGTTTCTTACTCGACAAGGTGATCTGTTAAGATCAGAAAGATGTTATTTCAGCGTTTTGTCAGCATGAAAGGCAGTGTACAATTTCCACTTACAATTCAGTATATTATCAATAAATATTTCCAATCCCGTCAAACGAAACGTAGAGTTATCTCCCATCTGTGAACCACATTTTCAAGGCCCGTAATGGTGTAATTTTAAAGGCAAGGCTGGCATTGTTTACTTTGACAGCTGTGGTTGATGTTAATATTATATTACGCGCCTTTGATGGTAGAACCTGCGAATGAGTGGCGCCTCCCAGCTTTTGCAGTTAAGAATAAGCTGACATTTCTTAGATTTGCCCCAGATATAAGACTGCGGGATTTTGAATTTCATAACACCAGACTCCTTTTCGTTCGGTGGAGAGGGGTCGTGGAGTAAAGTGTAAAAAATCTTTGCCACAGTTTGCCAAGATTTAAGTCTGTACAGATACGTGTTATTCCATTTTCTTCATGGTATTCCAAGTGGCTGTTTTCCAAGACGTTTTCGCACCAAAATTCTGCTGTCACATAAAGTTTACAGTTACCTCATCCTTCCTTGACCCAGCTTTAAGCAGAAATAGTTGAACAGCATAAATTAAGTTCCTTGTCATTTAATCACCTTGATATCTACTTACATCATATGATGGGTATGGACATAAATAAGAAAAAAATATGTAACTTTCCCTTGGAGAAAATATGGAAGTGGAACCAGTTTCTAACATGTCATGTCACACAATGAAAATATATATCAGACAATGAACAGTATCCATCATAAATTGCTATGTAATTATACCCATCTGATTAATCAGAGTTCAACTGTAAAAGTAGGTAGTATGAAAAGTTTTAAGTATAGGTTACATTAATGGGCTGTATACCATGCCTTATTTTCAGCATGTTTGCTACATAAATATCTCACATCATTGTGAGATAATAGGAATGCCAGTGCTTCACATAAGTTAGCCTGGTAATTTTTGACCTCACATAGTGTTGGCTTACTCATGGAGCATGGGATGTTACCTCTTATGCTACTGATACAGTAATGTTATATTCCGTTCATTTAACCACATTTAATTTATTTTCATTAAATATGGCTTGATTTTCATTAGTTTTCTTATTCTTTCTCCTACGACATTTCCACTTTATATGGGACAACTAAGACTTTCTGTGCCTATGTTTGAAGGCTAGTTGGTTTCTTGAAAGGAGGTTAAAGTTCACTAATGGAATGTAATTATTAGTAAATATAACAAATTTACCACAGTAGTTGTATTATATCTTGACTTATTTCTTAAATTGCATGGCTTCACCACTGTGCAGGCATTATTAATTCAATAAGCCATTTCTTTCAGTCACTCCGATTGACAAGTCAGAGTAAAGTCAGCATATCCTGTCTTTTTATGGTACCTTCATTAGAAATGTTGGCCCCTCAGCTAAGCCTACAATTTGCCTTTCTAAATTAAATTTTGTTGCAGGGACGAGTTGAATATTTTGTCAAATGGAAAGGATGGAGTCAAAAGTGAGTATACTTATCTCACACAGAAATTAATAGATTTTATTAGTGCTCATATGGATATCTGTAATTTAATTGGATTAATGTAGTCCTAATAAATGTTATCTTAATGTAAATACTGTGAACAAAGTAGAATGTATTATAAGGATATGATTAGTACAGAACAGTTTGTCATGTATCATACGTAATTTGTACAAGAAAATGTGCTTTGTAATTTTCATTTCTTACTGAACTGTATGTACATCTTAAAGGCCACAGTCAAATTTATGTACATTGAACAGGATAATGAAGTACTTGTAAATTATATTAGGGGAGTTGGTCAAAATAGAAAGTTTAATATTGTATTACATCCGTTTAACTATTTGATATCATCATCTTCTATGATTATATTTTCAGTTCACATCACAATGTAAAAATTGCTAAATTTGCCCTGGTAACAGTGAGATTTATGTTCCTCCTCAAAATGTTGTGAAGACTGTTTTGACATAATCTTACAAACTATGTCACTGTTTGTACAAAAATCTGTATTTTTTCTTAAATAAAATAATATGGTTATCAGAAAATGTGATATTGATTATATCTCCAGAATGTACTGTAATATCAGTTGTCCATTTGTGCCATGTGTGCAAGGTGTAAAGATGACTGCTCCACTTGACGTTTTTGTCAAGGACAAGCAACATGCAGTAATACAATTTTTGGTATGAGAATGACAGAGATTCACTGACAGTTTGCTGCCAAGTATAGATAGAACTGTTTGCTGCAGTGACATTTGTATGAGTGGATCAGAGTTTGACAGCTGTGCCAGTGCTGTTGATGCAGACAGGTGAGGTTGCCCATCCACATCCAGAAATGAACAAGATATGGAACATGTTCAAGCAATGATTCTTGGAAACTTTAGGGTAAATATTGCAGAAATTACTGCAAGACTGTTACTTGTCCTTGGTGCAAACCTTTTAGTGTAGCAACCATCTTTATGCCACACTCACTTCATGCGAATTGACATGTGAACCACACTTTCAACATCAAACTACAGTATGACCAGGCCTCAGTAGTGTTGCCAGTCATACAATGAAAAATTCCAATACTGCCCTTACTTTTTAATTCCTGCCATATTATTTTGAAACAAACACATTTAACTTTTATCGTGGCTTATGCAGTTTATTTGTGGTGCTTTGCATTAGTGTACATTAAACCAATCTGGCCAATAGCCCCAAAGGACAGCAGTTTAAATATATGATGGTTAATTCATATTTGGGCAATTCATTTCTACAAAATAATGCTACCATATGGTGATTTGAATAACTGCTGCATGTTACATTTTACATAGTTATGGGTTTGTTTGCCAGTTGGAAACTGTATTGTAATTGGCCATGCTAAGCGAAATATTTGTCAGTGTGGAAACGTCATAAAAAAATAATTCCTCAAAAGCATTTTGAATAAGATATGTTCTTGTGTTTATTTGGTGGTCTGTTAAATTATAATTAAAAAATAAATCAGTTGTTAGAATGTTATATTAATTACAAAGCAATTGCAGGCATAGTACATGGGAGCCAGAAGAAAATATATTGGATGGACGCCTCATAGATATCTTTGAACAAGGACAACGTGGGGATCCAACTCCTCACAAAAGAGGGCCTGGCAGAAAGAAGGAATCTGCACGTTATCATGTATGTCCCATTTATGATGCTTCTTACGCACTTCCATATATGACGTGTTTTACACTGTACATAACACACATCAGATGTTCTGTTTCTTCCTTAAAGTGTTTTACTTTTACTGTTTTAAGTATTAATACTTTGTTCTGTTTCTTCCTTAAAGTGTTTTACTTTTACTGTTTTTTATTAAGTTGTACAGAATGCTGCTGTAGATTACGCAATTGTGAAATTTGTTGTTATATACTTTCATTAATTAAAGCTTAGTTTCAAAATTGTTAAATGCATTTTAATAGTACTAAACTGTAAGTCACATTACAACTGGACAGATTCATCACATTCTGTTATAATGTTTCATCCAGAAAGTAAGACAACTTTTTCTTTACACAGTGTTGGCTTCAAGGCATGTATGTTGACATGGGTGCTGCTGTGTACTTCTGATTTTATTTCTATGACACGCATTCAGAGAAATTAATGGAACTGGAAAGTTTTATCAAATAAATTTCAAAACTTTAATTTTATATTAAGTAATTTCAGAAATTGTGTTAATGTTCTGTGTTACTTTCTGTTGCCAACTGCCATACTATATTTAAGACATTGGTTTCTCATATGATAACTGAAGTTAAGCAGTACTGTGCATTATTAGTACTTGGATGCATGACTGATTAGGAATACCACGTGCTATTGGCATATTTAATTTTGTAGCTCAATCAGTGTACTGTATGACTACAAATTAGATGACCAGGGTTTAAGCCCCAGTAGAGGCAAAAGATTTTTCTCCTAGCCTCTGCATCCAGACCAGCTCTGGGAACCACCCGTCTTCTATCCAGTGGGTACCAGGTGTTCTTTCCCCAGGGGTAAAGCATGGTCAGGGCAAGATGCTGACCATTCACCCCCATCTAGTGCCAAGGTTAAGAAAGAGTCATAGTTATACCTCCTCTCCTACCAAGCACCTTCAACATTATAGTGGATGTCTGTCGCTACTTTCCATCATGTGATGACTGACCTCTCACCAAATTTCTTTAGTTAAAATACAGTGAATGTTAATTACCACATCTCAGTTAAATATATCACAGTTGTGCCATTGTAGTTCCTTGCAGATGTGCAGACATTCATGAATTCTCTGTTTTCCTGCAAACATTACTCTGAGAACTTCAGAATGAACTTTGAGGAAATCACTTCTGACACGTGAAATGGTGCCATAAGCATTCAGCGTATCTTGCACTTCAAATTCTATTAATGAAGAGCTCTCTTTCCCACAGGCAAACTATATATCCAGTGTTCAGAAATTCACTCGTTGGAATGTGGATGCTGATTCTACCTTGAATAATGAGATGGCAACATAGAAGGAACTACAATATTATTGTCCAAATTAAGCCAACTAAGTGCAGCTGTTGAGAGTACTGTTTCTCCATTGCTGGTTTTAATATCTGCTTGTGTTATTAGGACAGCCATCAGCAGCAGCAGCAGCAGCAGCAACAGGAGGTTGGACGAAGTGATCCAGAGGACACACTGGAGGAGATTCAAGGGGGTGCTGGGGGGGATAGCAGCCAAGATGAAGGGGCAGGAAGGAGCAGCAGTGCTTTGCCAGAGTTGGAGCTAGGGGAACGAGAGGATGATGATGCTGGTAAGAAGCCAGAGGAGGTGCAAGGGGGCGGAGGAGAAGGAGGGGACAACACCCAGGATGATAAGGGGGCAGCACATTCTACCAGAAAGTTACCAGAGGCACATGATATAAACAACAAAGACGGTAAGAAGCTGGGAATGCAAGGGGGCAAACAAAGATGGTTACAGTAGAAACAGGCAAGTCATAACAGTCAGAGTAGGCTCAATGGTCAGAACTAAACTTGTCACATGATTCAAGCAGCATATTTTGTACAATAAGGAAATTAAACATGTGTTTTAAAAAGAAAAGTAAGATGTACCTCATACACATTATTATATAATAAAAAATTACGTGGATTATATTCAAGCTGCTATAAAAATAAATTACTTTTCCGAAGATTTTACAATAATATGGCAATTCATCCAGTGTTATCGATTTTTCACCAGTCCCCTTAATAGTGAAGTAATTTTTATCCAGCTATATTATGTCCAAATGCACACAGAAGGTGTAAATCGTGAGTGTAATGATTGGTTTTTATTATACTTTTTAGAGCTCTAGTGAAGAATTTACTGTAGTTGACATAACTGACAGTTATAAATGTATGCTGTTCAGAACAAAATTACATTTAGTTTTACATTCACACTGGCAAAATATGAGGTTTTTCATTGTTAAACAATGTGAATTGCTTGAATTACTTGTTAAAAGTCTTGGTTTCTGATCATTTTGGATGCCCTGATGAAGAAGAGACGTCTGGTAGTTGTGTTCTAATATTATATAGAAGTGTGTAGTTGATAGCACTTAACGTTTTTATTTCAAGTTTTTTGCATGTATTCATTATTGTGCCAGCAGCTGGAAATACATTTCCTAGTTGTCCGAGTTTAAAGTAAGATAAAACTGTGATGATGTTGTACGGCTGATTTTACTTCTTCTTTCTTCTTTTCAGCTTATTTAATATAATATATAATATCAGCAGTTGGTAAGCTGTCATGAAATATCCAAAGAATCAGTTCTAACATAGGCAGTGAGTTGTTTGTGTTGAAATTAAGTAGAAAGAAACCACGAAATTGAGGATTGCATTTCAAATATAGTACACATTTCTCTTTCTCTGTGGACCTGTGAGTAGTATTTTAGTATGTAAATTGTAGTAGTAAGTTCTCAGTATTTTAAAGAACTGAAACATGCAAAATTTGTTCAAAAGCACCAGGGGATAAAGATGACCTTATATCCTCAGTCTGTAATGCTGTCGGCATACTTGGAAATGTTTTCCAGTATATGAGAAGAAAATCTTGTTTATCAGTGTACAGTTGCATGAAATATATGTTTTTATTTTCTTTAAATTTCTGTATTGCCACAAGAAACAAGCCATAGTTTTAAAAGTCGCCTCTTCATTGTCATAATTTTCATTACAGGGCGTGCAGGTGCTTCTAGTGTTACACCACCTCCCCCTGAATTGGTAGCACTGCCTCCAGACATTGTAGATGGTGACAGCAGCAGTAGCAGCAGCAGTGAAGACAGACCAATTATTAGTCGAAGAGAACCAGTTGGTACAAAGCGAAAGGCAGAGGTTCTGTCAAAAGAATCTGGAAAGATTGGTGTTACAATTACAACAAGCAGTTCTTCCAGTAGCAGTAGTGGGGCTGGTAGCCCACCACCTAGCAAACTGCCTCGGTTACTGCCAGTCAAGCCTGTTACTGCACCCACATCACCGTCATACAACGTGAGTCATTATGATACAAGATTACTTGCAGCTGTCGACTAGTTCGGTAACTTTTGGCTTCACATGTATATAGTGTATGATGATATTGTTTCAAAAAAGTATGTTTTAAATACCTGTGAGTTCCATAACATAGTTTTTTAGAAGCTGTCCTTATTGTTTAGTACCAGACTTCTTCATATTTGATATTTATGGGAGTTTTATGTTCTATGTATGTAGTGCCTTGCACATATTAATGTAATAACTTAAAAACGAGAGTTTGTTACGCGGAGCTTGAAACACAAATTTGCTGTTGTCTTGAAAATGGTCCAATAATATTAATAAACCTTCTTTTGGACAGAAATTGCAATCCTAAATGCACCATGTTCATTTGTCTAAAAAATAATGTTGTAACTTTCAGGTACTTTTCTTTTTTCATTTCACAGTTCCAGTAACATTTTCAGGATACTGTTTTGCATTTCAGTGGAATATTATCAATTTTAAAATAGTATGAGGCTGTGTCTTGCATGCCAACTTCTAGCATGGACACGCTTAGACATGCTTTTATGCATTACCTCATCATGTGTACCGTGTGCTACCTACCTAGTCAGTAGTACAATGATGTCATTGAGGAGAGTACTCTCTTAAAGATTTATGAAATAAGAGTCTCCTGCAATGTAGACATAATGTGAAAATGAGTGCCCACAGAAAGCAGTTGACAAAAGCAAACTTGGTCTCTGCCACTCATGTAGGTTGTCAGAAAACAGCAGACAAACAGGCTTGTTCACTGTCCACAGCTTAAGCCCCCAAGACTGCCTCATTGTCCATTTACGTATGTTTGTTCAAATGTGCATGCAAGAATTTTATCTTTTATATTATGAGAACTAACTTATTGGAACTGCAGCCACAAGTTCATGGCCGTCGTCCTTCAAGTTCAAAGTCGGCCACAGACGCAGCACATATATCTCAAGATGATGCAGGAGTCGGATCTGTGCTTTCTGCAATATCTCCTCCCCCTAGTTCTGGCCGTGGATCAAAATCACCTGCATCTTCTCCAGCTCTGACACCTACCAGTCCCCGATCAAACAGTACTGACAAGAGAATATTAGCTCCTGCTTTATCACCTGTCGCCAGTCATATTTTACAAGAACTGGTAGGTCTACAGAAATTCTCTTCATTCTTGGTTGTCACTTTGCAGAGTTATTTTCATCTCTTCCCACAAATTTTCCTCATTTATTTGTCTCCTAATTTTTCAATCTTTATCTCTTGTTTGGTTCTTAATTTTTTCATCTTTCTCACCCTCCACATGGTCCATCCACCTCATTTGTGGCCTCACATGACATTGTTTGGCTTTAATTCTGTACCTGAAAATCAAAATTAAAAACTAGACTTATGCTTGCTTCACTAGTATTTTGACAGTGCATTTTCTTCACTACACATCTAAAGGTTATACCACCACAATTTGGTCATAAGCCGTGTGAAAATTGGGTATACCTTAGGAAGATGACGTTAGCATTAAAATAGGAGAGGCTTTGTGTTGTACATCCTACCTCTTAATCCAACATTGTAAAGAGCATACATTCAGAGTTACCATCTTGTCATATTATATTATAACATGCTTTACATTCTTAGCAGGGGACAGATACAGCAACAGCTGCATCAGCCATTTCACGAACAGAAGACTCTCATAAACAAAAGCATTCTCATCAGGAAGGCAGCATTATTACCACAGATGCAGTAAATGGGAGTACAGATATGGACAAAACAGGAGAAACTAATGCTGTAAACAACAGCAATGTATCAGTTACTGGTGGAAGCCTGGTGAATGGACATCCTAATAATGCTTACAGTAATAATAATATTAACACCGGGAATCTGGACGAAGTGGAGAAACCACCTCCTACGCTGCTTCCTCAGTTACTAAGCAGTCCCAGTTCAGAATACTGGCATGCAAGAAATCCGGTGGCAGACCAAGTTTTCATTACGGACGTTACGGTCAACCTCAAGACAGTTACAATTCGAGAATGCAAGACTGAGAAAGGTTTCTTTCGAAATAGAGATGTGCCCAATCAGAGTGATATTAAGTGATAAGTTTATATATCTTGTCTATCATGAACTACAACTAAAAATACAAAGGTGTTTAGCGATACATATTTCTTTTTCATCTCGGTTTTTAAATTAAATGTAGAATCAGTACAGATGATTAGAAAATGTTCACCCTTATTGATCTTCGGTACTGTCTGGAAGTACCATGACTGTTTTCAACTACAGCTAAGCCTCTTGATATGACCTCGCTGTGCCATGTTTGAAGCCAGTCTGTCCATTTATTCTCAAGATAATTGAAGGACAGACTGGCACTGATATGGTGTTTGGGAAGATATGTAACTTGAATTTATGGTTTCAGTAATGGCAGTTAGTATGAATAAAAGAGTAATAAGTAAACAATGTAATATATGCCCATATAAAATTGAAAACAAATATAAGACTACTTATTTGACTATATGTGACAGATTTAGGTGACAGCGAATGTGCACACAGTGAACTTTTCAATGATATAAGTTTGATAAGATATATGAAGGTTTGCAAACCAAAAGTGTCTGACGGACAAAATACTGAAAATTTAGTTTTGTAATATGCGAGGAAAATATTCTTTTGGTGATGTATTTTTCATTCTGTTGACAGTGTGATGTTGGGCATATGTGTGTTAGGAGTGGGATCTCATGTAGAAACTGTGAACTTTAATGCTCATGTGTGAGAAATTACATGTCATTTGGACTTTCATTTCAAATTAATCTCAAACTAATACTGTATAAAAATGTTTCCAGACAGATACTGTACCATTACATGCTTGGTATGTGTATTACTGACCTTCATACCTCATTAATGTTACATACGTAGTACATGATACTTATTCCAGAAATTGTTATTACAATGTAAGGGATAGTTAAGTGGCCGCACGGTCTGAGGTGTGGGCCTTGTGCCGCTTGGTCGCTGCGACCGTGGGTTCGAATCCCGCTGAAGCCATGGATGTTTGTCCGCGTCTTTCTGTGTTGTGCTGTCCTGTGTACAGGTAGAGGCCTTGCGACGGGCCGATCCCTCGTCCAAGGAGTCCTACCAAAATGTCTATAGATCAAGCCAACGAAAAGTTGGGACCCGCAGTGCTCAGGCACTTGAAGAACGGGTCGTTCCCAGTATCGGATAGTAATTTGTGGTAAAAAGTAAATTGGTGAATAAGATGCACTGTGTAACTCACACTCAATTATGTAGGCTAGTCACCTCTGGCTTGCGACCCTTCATATGTTTTCACATTAATTAACAACATTTATGTCAGGTAAAATGTGTGCTGTAACTGCAGTTGAATTTCATAATGTTTACAATTTTATGTGACTGAAGGATACTTTGTTCATGTTTGAACATACCTTAACTTTGATTTTGTATGACAGTGAACTTAATGTAAGACTTGAGGTTCTCACAGCAGTGAGTATGAAGATTTCCGTCTTCTGGGTTGTTGCGCTGTGTAGTCTGGTTGATATTAACCAACGTTTCAGAGGTCATACTGCCTCCGTCATCAGGGCGATGAATATGCCAATAGGGTGTGAGGTGCTAGGTTTATAGGCCAGAAAGTGAAAGGTGTAGCCTGCCCCGAGCCAATGGGAGCAGGCATGGGAGTGGACCAATGGCAGCACGTGGGCGAGAGTGGGAGAGAAAGAAGAGTACTCTACTTTCTCTCCCTCTCCCCACCTCACACCCTATTGGCATATTCATCGCCCTGATGACGTAGGCAGTATGACCTCTGAAACGTTGGTTAACATCAACCAGACTACACAGTGCAACAACCCAGAAGACAGAAATCTTCAATGAACTTAATGTTTACAGAAATATAAGTAAATATAATTTAAATTTTCATAACTTGAAATGCAATGTATTTATGTTCACTGCAATTCAGTCATATAAAATTGGAATAATCAATCTGAGGTAACATACACAGTCAAAAAGAAACTGAAATCAAAAGAGAATTAGTGGAGTACCCCATATGAATTATCTATTATTAATTTGCACTTCAGCATTAATTTCTCAGAGGAGGTATGGATCTTTCAGCATCCTGTACATTTTCATAAAGTGAGTTTGACAGTTATATACATTTAATTAATTAAAATATTGGATTGTGGTAACAATCTTAATTTCTGTGGACAGTACCATAACCTGTATTTATTTTTCTAATTTAAAATTCCATTTTCTTATATTATATGGTTTGTAGTGTTGAAATTAATATTGTGATCAGTTTGCTGGTGCTAGAGCAAAAGGGTGTAAGGTGTAAGTTAAAAGTTCATGAAATAAAAAAAGAAATCAAGAAGTCCTCACAATTCAGGTTTGTTGTTTTCTTAACACTCTTCTACAAATATGATTAGGAAATTTATCTACAAACTTAAGGCTGAAGTGCTGGTCTTGCTAAATTACAGGATCTACAACAGTTATTGTCCTCTGAATAATTTTTTAACTTATACCCCTTCATCCTCTCACTTGTAAATTACCTGCAGATATCATGGTGGCTTTTCTGAAGTTTGATGTTGTGCTTAGAACAGCTTAAACTCTGTATTTAATACAAGCAAGAATAAAAGAAGCCAGCCACAATAATGGAGGTGAAATACATACTGAAGAATTCTGTAAATTGGTAGAAAGTAACTGTAATGTTGTGTTCAGTCTATAATTTATTTTTGCACTACAGCACTAAATGGTGACCTGTACTGAAACAGATCTTCAAGTACTAATAATTTGCAGTTCTGAGTTCAGGATTATGAGGGGTGAACTGTTTGTGCTGAAGGTATTCAGTCCAGAAGTTGGTTTTGTTATGTTACAGGGTATCTCTTCTCGAGAGCATGTAGATTTGAGAAATATATATGTATATGTTGAAGGTTGATGAGGTTTTGATCTAATGTCTTAGATACAGGCCAAATATTAATGCTGACTTTGTAGTAATCTTTATTCTTAGCTGTAACTCTATTAGGAAATTCTTAAAATACTGGTAAAAATTGTGTCTTAGTGTCAGGAAAATAGGGATGAGATACAAACTGGCTTGAATGTATGCTTTACATATGGTTATCTCCTCCTTAAGACATTCCCATTTTAAGTGGGACATATAAGGTACAAATTATCTACAGTAATTTTGAAATCTGTTAAGAAACGATGTGAATAATAAGAAATGCAATATTAATCCTTGATGATTTCAGATGACATGAAATATTGTTTATTTTGTGTGTTTGTAAATACTCAGTTGCTTAATTGAGGCTGCATATGTATATTGTGAACTATGAATTTCTGTCTTGAACAGGAAATATATCATACTTGCCTGATTATAAGGTTATTATAAGATTATTATGGATATAATATGACCCTCCTTCACAGTGGAATATTTTAAGCAAATAAATTTGTTAACTTGCCTCTATGAATTTCATAGTTGTAATTATCTGGCATGAATATAAATTTTTCCCCAACTCTTCATAAGGGCAAGGTTTGATAGAATGTTTGTGTGATAAATTTGCAATTATTTACTGAGTTCTGTCTTCTCTACATTCTTCCAGACGGGTCCTGAAGTATTTGTATTCTGTATACCATGGATGATATTAGTTCTTTAACAAATCTGGTGGTATAAAGTATCATCTGTGGCTTGAGGTGAAGAAGGAATGTGCATATCGAAAGTCCCTCTTGCTTCTACTTGGTCTCCCATGATCTCATCATGAGATTTGTTAAGCTTTGGCTTAAAACGTAGTTATTTTAAACAACTCTTACGTAAAGTAACGTCAATTGCATCGGCATTATTAATAGCATATACTGTACCTTATGTTGGTTCTTAGCAGTTTCCACAAAGCATCACTGCACATCCACAAGTGTCATATCTCTGTCTGCTTGATACTCGTGCACAGCACCTTTACCGGATTTCTGAACAGTTGTTATACCTGTTTTGTCAATGTTCTAGATGTCGCTTATTCTGTAGATGATCAGGCAGCACTTTGAAAAAGCATCGACAGTAGCCTTATTAAAATCAGATGTTCTACCGAAGCTTGATGCGTCAGGTTTGCACAGAGAGAGGCTTCTGTACTTTCTCAATTATTTTGTAAACCATTTTTCACTTGTCATTTACACATCACTCCAACCTTTGGGGATCTTTCTATTAAGAGCAATTGCATACTCAAACAGATATTTACACCTCCCTTGTAGACAAGCCATAGTAGATGTCCAATGCCTTCTTAAAATAACCTCCAAGTTTTCTTCAACATTAAACACCTGGAAAAACACCACACTTCAGTCTATTTTTTTAAAAAAAGTACTTATTTGAAGATGGCTATCATCTGGATTGTTGTGCTATGGAGTCTAATCTGTCATCAGGGTGAGATCATCTCCCTGATGATGGAAGCAGCAAGTATCCCTGAAACATCAGTAAACTTCTACCAGTCTGAACAGTGCAAAAACCCAGTAGACAGCCATCTTCATACTTGCTGCCATGAGAATGTGAAATCTTACCAGTTTGCTTATCTACTGAAAAATATGAGAATATTTAATTAGTGGGCTTATAAGCCAAAAGAACTATAAATACTTCTATGATTAATTTTCCTGATCGGTAAAAAATATGTATGAACTTACTTGGTATCTTACATCCTCATCAGAGGCTATGCTGCAATATTTTGTTGATTCCAATATCTCTTGCTGTGCTCCATGTTGTCATATCTTCTGCGTTAAAGTCTCTGATGGCTACAGAAATTATTTCTGGGGCAGTTTTCCCTTTGAATGTTCTTGGCACACTTAAATGTTGTGCTATCAAGAAGTTCTGGGACTAATAAGAAAAATAAGTCAGAGTTGCTGGCTGTTTTATGGTGTCTCCTTCAAGGTAGTTCTCTTGGGAGGTAATGCACATTGTTATGTCATTCTGCCATTGCTGGAAGCACTTCTGGAACCAGTGTTTTGTAATCTCTTGTAATGCCTCTTTATTGTTGAATTTTCAAAATGTCACTGAATCTCATTTCTGAGTTTTGATTATATACTGTCTTAGAAACAAAAAGAAACCACTGGAAGCCAAATCTGGGGGGGGGGGGGGGGGGGGGCTGATGGCCATATTGTTTTTGGCCACGTATCAGTGCACAGAGAGGGAAGTGTATTATCAAGATGCAGCAACCAATCATCAGTGTGCAATGTTCCTGGATGTTTGACCCGTAATTACAAGAAATTTCTGGATTATGTAAGTATATGCATTTAATTGTGGTGTCACATGGTAACAAGGTAAAACACAGAGGTGTTGATCAGCAGCATGCCACTAGAGGGCCCCAAGCACCTGATCTGTAAATGAATGCCTCCTGCAGCATTGCTATCTTCTATGAACACATACTAACACAGCAAGTCTCAAGTGCAGTAACCAGCTATTTACATATGTAATGAAAAAAAGTCCAAAGTTTTAACAGACTGTGTTGCAACGAAGTATGTTGGTGTAGTAATACTGTGTCATATTTGTATTTGGGATATAATCGGTTTGTATCTCAATTAATTTGCTGGTTATCCTGTCAGACATTTTCTTCATCTTTGTAGGTAAATGCAGGGTGGAACCTTGAGAGAGACCGTAAAATTCTCCTTTCAAATTCTCATTTACTCATTAGTTAATAAATCACTCTTACACTGTTTTCATAAGTTGGTCACTGGAAACAAAATGAACCAATGAACTGAAGATTGCTGTCTTTTGGGTTGTAGTGATGCATAATCTGGTAGAAGTTTACCAACGTTTCACAGGTGCTTACTGCCTCCATCATCAGGGTCATGAGCTATTTGAGAAATGAAATGTCCAGAATAAGATTAAAAGGCCTCTTTACTAGAAAAAATTACCCATCTCATGAAAGGTGTTGTTCTAGTAAGTGTTCCATCTTTTTCTAAGTACCCAATTATACGTGTGCCTTACCCAGTTTATCATTATGTATGATGGACAAAAAATATCTGACACATTTATGTATCATGTAGTAAGAACTATTTGATAGTAATCATATTCACATATTACACAAAACACAAGCTTTAAAATGCTTATAAAACAATGCCTTTTAAGTGAGTACCATTTTCATTTATTTGCAGAGAATGTTTCCATGAAGTTCCAAGTGATCCTTGATCTGGTAGACAAATGATTAAATGTATCTCAAAAAAGATTACACCCTGTCAGGTCCAGACTTCTGGTTGGCCATTTGACATCTCTCACTTATGGATGAGATGATGTAGGAACAAGCTCTTCAGGAGTGACTGATGCATGAGTGTTGGTAGATGTCCCATCTTGTTTGATCACCTAATTCTACGTTCTTCAGTTTTGCAGCATGACAAATGTTTAGCATTTCTTGATCATCACTCAAATGCCACTAACAGTTAAACAGTCAGAAGAAAAGAAAAATATGGCCCAATAATTCCAGCCCAAGATGTACCACAGGACAATGTAATACGTTTATTATAGAATGTTTGTTGGTGGAACTTACAGTTTTCTTCTGCTTGTTGGCATAACCTGTATGAAATGAGTTTCTTCCATCAGTCTCACATCCTCCTTTGACATCCAAAGAAATCTGTTACATAGAGTCACTGTATGATATTATTATTTATTAATCACAAATTGTTATATTAAACTTATTATTATTTTTGTTGCTTGCTTCCACAGACAGTATCACAAATTATACATAATAATCTCACATGTTCTCCCCCCTTTTTAGCCTATTCCTCCTTATCAAGTGATAATGGTAAGATTATGAGATCATCATACATCACCTTTCAACTTCTGAACCAGGTGACCAATTTTCACAAAACTTGGTGTAAACTATCTTTTTAATTTTCTACAATTGATAATAACAAGGCAGATACACAAAAACTTGTAAGGTGAAAGTAATACTAGTACCACTTAATGCAGACCCTGAAATGATGGATAATAATAGACCAAAAAAGTATGCAACTTCTGTTAAGAAATTTTTTTTGTAGAACATAAAACAATACAATGGCTCCATGACATCTATATTCAGCTTCTGGTCTGATGGTACGGCCAATGGAGCTAGGCATCTGGAATCTGGAATGTACACGAATCATAAACATACTCGCAAATTCTATACAAAATATTGTGAAATTTCGGGTTCTCATGGCATCAAGTATGGAAACGACCATCTTCTGAGATGATGTGCCATGTAGTTTCATAGAAATTCACCAACATTTCACAGGTGCTTACCATCATGTTGGAGGCAGTAAGCACCTCTGAAAAGTTGGTCAGTTTCTATGGGACTATGCAGTACAACATCCCAGAAGACAGTAACATTAATCTGAAAACATACTGTGAAGAAATCAACAATTACAAACATAGTAATGATGCAAAACTTTAAGGTCAAATCCAACAAATTTACCATAGACAAGATGACCTGTACTACTTAAAATTCTTCCCAAAAAGAAAACAGCAACAATAACAATAATGTGTTAAAAGAACATTTACAATGCAATCAGTAAAGAACTCACTCCACTAGGATTCAATAGTATGGCCACGTATGCACAAGTCTAGCAAGTACATTTTATTCTTGGATAATAAATTTACACTACCTAAGTAAAACAATAACACAACACAACACTTGTAAGACTGTAAGTAAGTTCTATGCAGAATTTAACACCTATCTTTATACAGGTTTTGGAGATTACATAGCATTTCCCAGGCACTTCCAGCTGGTGGCGTTCGAAGAGCTTTTATTTGTGCATTAATTGAGGTGACATGATTTAATTTTTTGTGATGATGGACAACTGGTTTTACAAGACTCTGACTGTGGAAAATCTCAATGTCACAATACAAGAATGGAAGTGGAAGCCTGGAATTAAATAGGAAATATTCTGGATTGTGGCCATTTACACATTTTATACAGTTATATATTTGATCCTCTGCCTCATACAAATAACATAAATAGTATCTGAAAAATAATACATTTCATGAAATAATTTATTAAAAGTATGTGAATAAAATATTATCAATAGGGCAGAGGCACTGAAATTCAATAAACATATACAACCACACACACTGTACAAATTTGTACCAGTAACTTTGAGCTGCCAGATGCAATGACATTCAAAAATTAAGAAAAGTTACAGTGTTATCTAGAATTATAAGAATTTAGAATGTATATAAATTTTAAAAATATGGCATAAAACTTGAAACATTAATGTAGTTTTCATAAAAATAAAAATGGGAATTTGAAAACCCCCTCCTGAAGGTCTTGCAGGCTCTAGCTATAGTCACTGAAAATTGATGATCTAAAACAGCTCTTCCCTGAAGATCACTCAGGCTCAACTAGCCTAAAAACCTAACTACAAACTTATTTATGTTAAATAATAATAATAATATTTTGTACAGCATGTATATTACATTTAAACTTAAAACATCAAGACCTGGTGCTGCTCATTATTGATATGAATGTAATTACAACTGGCAACATTAATAGCCTATACCATATTTATCTACACATCATATCTCAGGATTTTACATGGACAGCACAATGTGATTTGCATAAGAATATACAAGACACAGCAATAAACTTTGCAATATCATTCATGCAAGATGTACTGGCTGTAAGGTAAAGCAAGCACTCTGACCTTCAAAAATTCCCATTTTCTTTCAGCAAGAAGTAAGGAGTGTGGGTGTGTGGTCAGTTGTTATCAATCACTGCAAGACACACCTTGTTAAAAACAGAAGTCTCCTTCATTTTCAACAGGTTTTCTGTGTTAATATAATTACATCTGTTGGAAATGAATGATGTGATAGATCATTTACTGTCTATGCAAAACTAAACACAAGAATATCAAATATGGACTTAGATGTTTCCAGAAAGTTTGAAGTTAGTAAGCTACGGTGAGTATGGAGAAAAAACAGATTTTCTCCAAAGCAGTGCTTCCCAGCAGGCTTTTCATGAGCGAAAAGCAAAATTTACTGAGGTATAAGAAACATTTTCTTCATGGATAACTGTATTTTCTTTACTGTTACAAAACAAGGAAATTATGTCTCTGTGGAAATGCAGCCTCTAATGAACCCACCGTCCATTCTCCCAATGATACACGAGTGTATCTGGAGCAGCAGTGAAATGACAGAGAAAGGAAAACTGAAGGATTCAGAGTAAAACTTGTTGCAATGCCACTTTGTTCACAAAGACTGCCTTGGGAATGAACCCAGGCCTCAACTGTGAGAACCTGGTGACTAACTGCCTGTGCTATGGCCACCAGTAACTGTAAATATGGTAGTCTATTCTTTATTGACTGCATTTTAATCAGCAATCAGCCACTGCATGTGCCGGTGTAAATTTCTGGAGTGGGACTAGCAACACTAATACAATTTACCCATTTTTGGTCTTTAGTATTAGTTCCATTAAAATACTGTATTTTTTCTTAAAAATTCTATAAAACAGGAGTATGCATAATATTTACAGGACAGTGGTATTTGGATAAATACAGTAATTCTAAATTTTGAAACCAATTATATGCATAATAACTGCAATGCAGGAATATCACTGTTGTATTCAGACTTGACTTAATAGCTGAAGACTGAATATCTTAACCACAATTTCAAACTGGACAAATTTTTGCTGTACATATTATTTATTTTACTCATTGTTATATTTGTTCTGATGTAACATTAAAAATGTTCACAATTATTACCATGCAACCAAGTTCTAAAATGGGATGATAACACTTCATCATATGGGAATAGGGGATTACAGCCCCATATTAAAGGCTATCATCCAGACTTTAACTCAAGGGTTTAACAGTTTGATGGTATGCAACTGTGATGCATGATCAGCTGCACTGAAAATAAGTCATGATGCATGACCAATAAATGTAAATGCTAGGACATAATTACAGATGAATAAAAAAAAAGTATTCTGAGAGTTGCTTAAATGAGTAATGTAGCAATGATGGAACTAAGAAGTGAGTAACATTAATAAAGTCTTCTCGGGCTAACAGCCGTGTTAGTTGGTGATCAATCGCCGATGTTCAAGCATCATCTCTGTCCTCATTTTCAAGGCTGACTATGTGGCTCATAGCGCGTAACGTCAGCA